CGATCATATTAGCCGGTCACATATTTATGTTAAGCAAGTCGAAATTTCGCAAAACTGTAAACTGCTCTTCCCTCTCGAATATCATACGAAAGGCCTATCGAGTTGAAACAGCCTTCATGTTTCGTGGTAATAACATGAAAATGTTAAATTCAAAGCATTTGATGAAGTAAGTACCTAAGTGTTTAAAACTGCAGATCTGTGTATTCACAAGCAGTAAGGGAAAGCACCGCTCCCGGCACACTTCTGATGACAGTTTACGCCGAAGGTGTCTCGGGTATTCGTTACTCTCTAGACCAGCAGCACTCAGCGAAATGCCACGCGCTAGCCATTCATCAAGTATCAGGTGCCGTATTCTTGAAGAAACGTCTGAATCGCGAAAGGCATGGTGCTGTGATGAATTGCCGAGTTATTGCAACGAATACGATTGGAACTGCAAGTAGTGCGCTTATTGTTCTGAAGGTAAGAGTACTTGAATGATAATTTGAACCGGTGAAGATGAATTTCAGATAAGAAAACAGAAATATTGTTCGGAAATATCTTCTCGATTGAAATCTATGCTGAGTGCTATGAATGTTACATTTTTTCAGTGAGCATTTTGCACACTGCTTTATTTCCTCCGATGCTGTTAGACAATGGTGATGCAGCTTATGAGCGATTTAAAAAAGAATTTGTCGAAAGATTCCACGAGAGATGAAATTCTAAATTGCGTTCATATGCTCAAAGTGTAATGCAGCAAGAACCCTTTCAGTATATTCCGGTTTTGTTAAAATTTCAGTTAATTTTCATCCTAATTGTTTTGACGAATTGCAGCTGGTTGACGTTAATGAGCATGCACCGTTCTTCAATCAAACAGTTTATTATGGATACGTTCAGGAGAATATGCCTCCAGGTGACAACACATTTTGAAATGTGCTTTGATTTTATAACATTGACATCGCGAGAGCATACATATCATACACACAGCGCGTTGTCTTTCAAACAGACATCATCATGATGTGCTCAACCGA